AAGGGAGTGATCGCGGTACAATTGGTGCTGGTCACGCTGTTGCAGCCCCGACCGCAAGGAAGCTTGAGGGCAGCGAGCATCGCCTTCACCGTGGGAAGTGCAAGTCGGGAAGGGAATCCCTTGTTCCCTAGGCCAGGAGACTGAGACACACAACACCTGGAAATATCGGGGTACTCCCACCCCAATACCTGCGCTTTTAAGCAAGGACAGCACCACCAGGAGATTATAGTCCCACACCTCGGCCAGTGAGATGAACCCAGTACCTCAGTTGAAAATGCAGAAATCACTGGTCTTCTGTGTCGCTCGCGCTGGGAGTTGGAGACTGGAGCTGTTCCTATTCGGCCATCTTGCTCCACCCCCCCCAGCATAGCAACTTTCTAAATCTGGAGAAGCAAATATTCATCCACATCCATGAAGCTCTATGTATTTTAAATAAGGTAAACCAAATGAGAAAAATCAAAGATAGTTTGAAACCACATTATTAAAGGAAAGGTTTTGAAAACAGAAAGTAAAAGAGCAGATTTAGCACATTTCTCAGCAGAAGATTTTCAGTTCAGAATGGAGAGGAATTATATTAGATAATGTATGGTTTATTGATAGAGATTATTTCTGAAAAATGTATTTCTAGTCAATGTCATCATTGTGCAAGCATCATAGGGAGAACTTACACAAACCTACAAGGAATATCCTACTACACATAGACTATGTGGAATAGCACAATGTTTCCAGACAAGTAACCTGTACAGAGTGTTACTGCACCGAACACTGCAGGGAACTGAAACGCTGTGGTAAGTATCTCTCTATGTAAACACATCTAAATATGGAACATCCTTAGTGAAAATACGGTATTACAATGTTATGTGGCCACAAACATATATGTGGTCTATTGCTGACTGAATCATTCTTAGGTGGCCCATGACTGTATTGAAATTGCTGGGGGAAAAAGAATGAAAAACAAACAAAACTCTGCCAACCAAGAAATTTTACCATGTAAATCTTTTTGTAAAATAAAGGATAGGTAAGACCTTTCCCAGAGAAGCAAAAGATAAAGGAGTCCTTCAACACTGGGCCTGCCTTAAACACCAAAGGTTCTCAACTAGGTCTGCAGGATAATGACATTGCTGCATCAGCTCCATTCTGGCCTCTGCCATGTGACAGTTTTGTGTGAATTTTCTTTCTGCTCTCTCAGGACTTTTTTTCTCTCTCATCTTCGAACTCCATTCTCCTTTTAATTCTCAGTTTGTTGAAAAGATTCATATTTAGCTAAGAACATTAAAAACTTCGGAAAAAAAATTCATCTTAAACTCAACAAATTTAATTACCTGTCTTCACGGATGCCCATCTGTTCTTTTCTTGTTTTCCTATGGGATATGGCCCTTGTTTCTACTTCAGTCCAGTCCTTAATTCCATATGCATGATGCAACCAACCATCACACACCCAGGACCATCTTGGAGAAAGGTACCCCCTACCATCTGCGTCATCAGCCTTCAGGTGCACAGTGGCCATTCCTTCAGCTGTTGTATGTGCTTTAGGGCTTTCTATTTAAAAGTGTATTCCACTATCCCCCAAATAAAGTTCCTGGACCTAAAAAAGTGATGTGCATTGGGGGCATTGACAGCCAATTTTCATTGAAAGTCTCTTCTTCCCTTGGTAATTGAGGAAGACTGGGAAGAAGGGAACAAAACTGAAACCTCATGTAACTCCTATTTTAGCAATAGATTCAGTTCAAATTTAAAAAGTTGAAGACATAGAGTAATGTTGGTGTGGTTTTCTGTGGCATGCTAAGGAGACAGCAGAAGATGGTCAGTGGTCAGTCTCCATCCAGCTGGTACCCATTGTCCATTAGTTAGGTCTTCAGAAAAGATAAAAGACAACTTTTGTGACAAAGCCCCAAGGGCTTCATTAAAACACTTTGCCCAGAAATTGGTCAACAGGGACATGACAAGTTTTTATACCACAGCTACTATTTTTTGCCTACTTTATGTAGAAATCTGAGAGATGTGCCCAGCCTCAATGGGCTGATTCTCCATCCAGGGGACAGCGCTAACAGTGTTATGAGTTACGTGTTATTAGTCTGTCTGGGTCTTCCTAAGAAGACAACACGGAGTGGGTGGCTTAAACAACAAATATTGATTTTCTTACAATTCTGAAGTCTGAATATTGAAGATCAAGGTGCTGGCAGAGTTGGTTCTTGGTGCGGCTTCTTCCTGGCATGCACTGGGGCACCTTCTAATACACTACATCTCCACATGGCCTCTTCTCTGCGTGCACGTGAAAAGTGAGAGGTCTCTGGTGTCTCTTCCTCTTCTTATAAAGACAGCACGTCTATTGCATTAGGTTCTCACACTTCTGACCACATTTAACCTTAATTGTATCATTAAAATTCCAATATAGATCCATTGAATTTAAGGTTACAGAATATGAATTCCAAAGAGGGCACAATTCAATTGATGACACAAATCAAGAGATGGTGAGAAGCATTAGAATATATATATTTTTAATCACTAAGGAATAATGGGCCATGCAGGAATTTGTAGGAAAGTTCCTAGTAATTGGTGAAACCTCAATTGTAAGAGGAAAATGTGCCTTCCTCCTTTCTTTTCTGGCAGAAGAATGTGAGGAAGCAGAACCACAGATATCAAAGAAAGAGGAGCCCTGGGGACAGCGGAGGTGCTGGTGAGGAGGGAGAGCACTGAGCAGATGAGGAAGCCCCGCCCTCCCTGCACCTGCTCCTGACCCGGCCTCCTGCTCTGTGGGCCCCGCGCGCCCCCTGCTGGTCCTGAGCGGCACCTGCGCCCGCCCCCTCCGCCTCCCTGCAGGGAGGTTTGTGTCTGGGCTCACACTCACCTCCCCTCACTGTGTCTCTCGCACAGTAATACACGGCCGTGTCCGCGGCGGTCACAGAGCTCAGCTTCAGGGAGAACTGGTTCTTGGACGTGTCTCTTGAAATGGTGACTCGACTCTTGAGGGAGGGGTTGTAGTAGGTGTTCCCACTACTACCATAGATACTCCCAATCCACTCCAGTCCCTTCCCTGGGGGCTGGCGGATCCAGCTCCAGCCATAACCACCGCTGATGGAGCCACCAGAGACAGCGCAGGTGAGGGACAGGGTCTCCGAAGGCTTCACCAGTCCTGGGCCCGACTCCTGCAGCTGCACCTGGGACAGGACCCCTGTGAACAGAGAGACCCACAGTGAGCCCTGGGATCAGAGACAGCCTCCCATATCGTCATATCTGCATCCCCGAGACACTCACATCTGGGAGCTGCCACCAGGAGGAGGAAGAACCACAGGTGCTTCATGTTCTTGCACAGGATGTCCGTGACTCTCAGAGAACATTTCCCATCTGAGCTGGACCCTGAATTTAAGGAAGTGTGTGGTGGTTTCCTGTGGGTGCCTAAGTGAAGATTTGCATATGGGTGGTGCCTTTGTATGGAGAGGTGAAAAGGGATGAGGGAGGTCCCAGTCTTTGTGGCTCACCCTGAGAGGAGGATGCTGGCTGTGCCCTCTAAGAACTCAGTTCTCTTCCTGGGGCCTCCCGTCACGAAGCCCAGAGTGCTCTTCTTCCAGGTAGGGAGATGTACTGAAGGAGCTGGTCTGGGACATGAGTGTGATCATGGATCGAGGACAGATTTTGGAATAGGTTCAAAGCTGTTCTACCCGTGAAGATTTATATGAAACCAACCAAACATCCAGGTTATCTAAATTGTCAAATCTCCATTCAAAACATTAGGGCAGCAGCTAAATATATTCGTCACAGTGAATTTATATAAACCTACATCCATGTAATGTTTATTGTAATTCAGCATATCCATCATGGTTAGAGGGAATATATCTGTCCCAGAGCGTGCGTCATAAAAAAGAAAAAAAAAATCGGAGACCTTCCCTTTTGTGAACGTTTGAAGTTTGGGATTCTGTCTGCAATCTCAGGAGAAGGTAGTGGGATGTATCTCCAACCGTGTCAATGTGTCACGCTGAGAATGTGGCCTGACCTTTATACACTTCTGTGTGAATAGATGCAGTTTGGGGATCACAGTGACAATTTCAGTCAAAAACTATAATAGGTCAGCACAGGAGCATAGTCTCATCATCAAAATTAGTGCAATTGCCTTTCCTGGGAACAAGACAGGACATCTGTGAGCTCTCTCCACTGAGAGCACAAGGAACTCTGGTTCTTCCCTGACAGGTCACACTTCTGAAACATGGCTGGACAATGACACTCAAGCCCAGAGTCCTCACCCACATATTTATCGTGTCAGGTGCACCTGTGTCTGAAAGACTTTCTCCTTTATTGAATTGCATGAACATACCTTAGAGTTTGCGGTATTGTAACTTAGGCATTTGAGATTAGTTTGGTGAATTATATAATAAATAATCTATCTCCATGGATGTGGGTAACAGGAGAGTCATCAGAAGTTGGGTGTATTTCAACATCAGGACAAACCTGGGCTCTCTTGTTAGGACTGAACAAGTGAGCTGACCTGTGGGACAACAGAGGGAAAGACACAGAGCCAACATTCAGAGCCAGGTGACCCCCTTACCTACCAGGTGGTCTCTGGACATTTTGTTTAAACAGATCCAGAAAGACGTTCCTCACCTTCAAGAGAATTATGAACATTGAGGGAAATTGAGATAAATTTTTATTTACAGAGAATAATTCATAGGCTTGTAGACATCTATGTGGGTGTGTACAGGATTGCTAGGATACGCTCATACACAGAACAGAAGAAATAATTCTGTTTCATGGAAAGAAAACCAAAGAGCTTCTGAATTGGTAGGTATTCTTTGCCACAAAAGTGTCAGGTCACTAGATCATGTTATGATGCTGGAGGTAACACTTCCCAACATTGTCCTGGAGACAAAATGCAAAAGAGTAAAGATTCAAGTGAGATTCCTTTGAAAAATACAAGGAATGAACAGCCCAAAAAGTATGAACCATTATGTAAAGAGCGTTAATTAAATGAAACAATAAATTCCATGTTGAGGTGACAGGGAAGTTCCATCTGACAGCTCATTTTCACCTTTATGGGTACCGAGTGCCCCCTGCAGCCCAGCTCCCACCCTGAAGGGAGGTTTCTGTCTGAGCTCTGCGAGTGAGCTGGAGTCATTGTGAGCCACTCAGAAAAGTAGTTGATTCTACTTCTTCAAACGGGAATTTAAACAATCAACTCCTCATCTTAGCCAGTCTATTTTTGTAACTGTGCATGACCCTTGGGAATGCAGTCACCATTTCCTTCATAATGAGAGTTGACTGTGCCATGAAGGTAACAGGAAGATGGGTAAATTTAAAGTCTGGGTACATAAACCGCTGGATTATCAAATCCTGGAGCCAATCACATTCTGTCATCTTGCTTAGTTGTGAATTTGTTTTCAGTTGTTTAGTTCAAGTTCCCATAACTCACTTTCTGATAAAATAGTCACATACTATTGAGATATTAAAATGAATAAAAAATCACTAATTTCAAAATGAACCTAACTTTCAGGAGAGATGAAAATTCCTTGTGGTGAAGAGTGTGAAGGGTGGAGACATGGTTGAATACTGAGGTTGTGTTCACAATTGTATTATTTTAATAAGGGAACTTCTGTACGTCTCTTATATTTATTAGAAACTGCCATTGAGAACCTTGATGTAACGTAATTAATTGATGGGTCACACAAAAGCAATGAAGCTGAAGGTTATTGAGCAGGAATTGCTATTACAACTTTAGCTTTCCTTTAGAACACATTACTCTACCTGATATGAAATTCGCCCAGGTGCACTGATGAGCGTTTTACAGTTAACCAAAGACCAGGAAATGGGCTCTTGTGTACGTGGAGCAGGGCATGGCTTTGGGATGCTTTGCAAACAAAGTGGCTTCTCACGTCTTCTGGAAAACCCATCAAAATGGGCAAGTTAGGGATCTCTTAGGAGCTCCCGTCTATACCACATTCATGGCTAATATAACAGTGGAAGTTGATGCAAAATGAGATCATATGGAAGATAAACTGCTGCACCACTGCCTCAGCTCAGCACAGCTACCTCTTCCCTCAGGGCTTCTGACTCTCTCAGGATGTGGGTTTCCACACTGTGTCTCTCATACAGTAATGCACGGCCGTGTCCTCAGCCTTTAGGCTGCTGATCTGCAGATACGCCGTGCTGACAGAGGTGTCTATGGAGAAGACAAATCATCCTGTTTAGCCCTGGGCATACATTGGGTTCCCAGTGTTGATGTTCATCCACCCATCCACTCAAGCCCTTCTCCAGGGAACTGTCTCGCCCAATTCATACCATAGGCGGTAAAGTTGTAACCAGAAGCCTTGCAGAAGACCTTCACTGAGGCCACAGGCTGCTTCACCTCAGGCCCAAACTGCACCAGCTGCACCTGGGAGTGGGCACCGGTGGAGAGGACACAGGATTGTGGGAAGTCTCACTTGACTGGCCTGGTTTCTCTGTCAGCCCTGGGACTGGGGAGCCCCTTAACTTTTGCTGCTAACGCCAAGAAGAGGATCCTGTGGGTCCTGTCCATGGTAGGGTGTGGTCACGAGGAGGGGTGTGGTTGTTGGGTGATGCTCTCAGGGCACAGAGTTATCTATATTAGCCTCAGTGATTTGCATATTCTTGAAGGATGCTATTTAATAGCCCAATTTCTGACCCAGTATGAGAAAGAGCAAATACACGACACATGGACGACACAGTTGTAGAAGCTGAGGGTTCAAACCGTAATCCTGTTGGAGGCCATGTGTCCCCTACACATCCCTGAACTCTATGTTGACAGAGCTTCCCCCACTGGAGAACAAGCTCCCCCAGGACATGCACCTCACTTTGAATCCACATTTGAATGAATGAGGGACAACTTGAACCATTTCTAGCACTTAATATGTGAATGCGTTATTTTGGGAATGACTGTGTTTGTCCAAAAATTGCACTGATTCAAAAGAAAGGAGCTCTTCCTGACCTCCAGCTGCTTACTATTAAGATAACTGGCAGAGTTTGAAATCCCCATTGTGAAAGTAGTTCTCATTACAACATCCAGTTTGATAAATGCTCACAGTTGAATGGAATATTTATATAAACATCAGAAGTCCTTGTGAAATACTTAAATTAGATATTTTTAAAGGAAGTCCGGGGCCCTGAGAGGAACCCCTCCCCAGCCAGCTGTGCACCTGCTCTGGGGCGGGAGCCTGTGCTGAGTTTATTCTGAGCGCCCCCTGCAGCCCAACCCCCTACCCAGCAGGAGCATTTCTGTCTGAACTTACAGAGTATATTCCTACCAGTGTCTCTAGCCCGGTATAAAGTGGCTGTGCCCTGGCTCAGAATTCTCCTTTAGTGACACAACATGCTTCTCACACCATCTTTTGAAATACTGAATTGGCCTTCAGAAACCCAGAGAACTGTACAGGGAGACCTGAAGAAAAGATCTCATGCATCACTGGGGAGCCCTTTCCTGGAGTTCCAGAGGCACTGAATCGTTTGACATATGGTGAACCCAAAAACTCTTCAGGGATTTGGGGGGAGATTCTTATTTTCTTTAGGGTCCTGCAGTTGATTATTGCACCTGAGAATATCTGCAGGTGCAGTTGCACGTGGACAGAAGCCCAACTCAACTCTAGTATTCAAATAACACATACACACACACATACACACACACACACACACACACACAGTGGCTAATTTTAACATTAATCGGCCCACTTTTCTTCCTTTCTTTTCTGGTATCCATGTCAAGGAAAGCACTCCCTACACTGGCACTAAGGATGAGTATGTGTCTACTTTCTGCAAACAGAAGTAAAGAAAACAGAATACAAGTGGACACCTGGGAAGTACATGCACATTGAATTCAGCTGGTCTCACTTTGGAACCCTGCACACGTGCCATGGAAAGTAAATTTGAGGCTTATGAGGGTGAAATCATTTCCTTGGTGCTGAAGGTGCTGTTGTCAGAGCCTTCAAATTGCTCTATTTTCCTGAACATTTTTAATCCTATTTTCCTCCTCAGAGTTTTTGCATTGCCACACTCTCATATTTAATCCATATTGACTAAACTGGTGAGACGTAATGTGTGGAACACGGAAGCATTACATGTTCTTACAGATGAATCTTAATACTCTGGTGATCTTCTTTCTCTGGACTGTGCCCGATACAGGAAGTCTCCAGGTGTGAAGCTGATTTTCACTCTTTTCTCGATGGAACATCACAGGAAAATTTTTGTAAATGTGCCCCTTTTGGCTAATTGTAGCCATTTTCGTGATAAAGGCAGCCTGTAGGTATGGGTTTGTAATGGGGATGGATTACCTTTCGCAACATACATAAGGATTTAAAAATGGGTTGTCTGCCTGAAGAAGGTCTCAGTGTTTTATCAGAGATTCAGTCTCCTGGTAATA